GAGGGGGATCCACCTTTTAATTTTAAAATCCTCTGGTAAATCTAAGCATTGAGAACTCTATGGACTGTAAGGGCCACCTGCCAGGAATATGATGCTTTACTTGCTGCCCTGTCTAGAGGCGGGGTCCGTGATGTGATGACATCTCTTCCCTGCAAAGCTCTGGGGAGAGCTTTGTTGTCCCCAAGGCTCCATAACACAGGCTGCCCATCCTCAGGCTTGTGGCAGGAGGGGGATCAGGCCATCACAGCTGGGGCTGCCTGTCAGTATGTAAGGTGCATTTCCTCCTGGTGTGGACACCTTCCCAGAGCCCAGGGAATCACTGTGGACAGGAAGTTCCTAAAGAGCAGCTGGTAGAGGCTGCAACTTAAGGGTCTGTGAGCTCCCAGGAAACTGCCTGAGGTCTGATTCAGATGGACAAGGGAACACATTTCCTTCCACCCCCTGTCCCAGCACGCTCACAGAATGAACGTGATCACAGAAGACGTCTCCGGACTGGAAAAGTCTCAAGAAGTCTGCCGTTTGCAAGAGAAAAACATGGAGAGGAGCTGATTCCAAGGAGGGCATGGGGACTACTGCTAAGCTTGTCAAGGTTGAGTATGGTCAACCAATGATGCCAAACAGGCAGCCAGGTGGTATTCCCAGGCTACCGAGCTGCAGAGGATTGAGACGGAGCCCTCCCAGAGCACAGCCTGCAGCTGGCCTTTGATCTAGAAAGCACTTTCCTTCAGAGCTCAAAGCATCCCTCTCAGATATGCCTAATTTAGCCTCCCCCTCATACATTACAAATACAGACTTTAAGCCACCACCTCAGAGCAAGGGAACTGGCCCACTGGGGTGGGACCTCTGGCTCCCAAAGTGGTTCTGGGGAAAAGTCTGGCTCTGCTGCTGCCTGCAGACAGCACAGCTCTGCGTCCCCTGGAGATCTCAGCTTTTCTTCCAGAAAAAGGTAAATGCAGGAGATGCTCTCCATGGCAAAGAAACTCCCAACTCTAAGTTCTTCCCAATATCTACACTGTATCCCTCATGCTAAAGTGTGAAGCCTTCTCCACGTCTGCACTGTGAATGCAGAGGGGACCTGCTCAGTGGAAGTCTCACTTCCCTTCCTTGGAGAGAAGTGGAGGCACAGAAGGGGCTCAAATCCGAAATTTCTTCAACCTCTGTGCTAAAGGACAAGGGTGTGGGAGACTGAATGGTCCTGCCTTTATTTCTGATATGCAGGTCAAAAAATAATTCATGGCTGTGAGTAAGGAGGACTCTGGGTTGTTTCTAACGATGCCCCAGGACACTCTGAGGGGTTCTCCTGGCTTCAGCTATCAAGGGCTTGCCACCTCAAGCTGCCACCTTCTTCCTCCTAGGAAGTGGGGGTGAATGTGAGGAGGAAGGTGGGGTGGGCCTTTTCCACTGACAACCACACTGTGACCTGGGGGATATGACCCAGCCTGGGATGCTAGGGACGGGGAGTGTGTGTCCTGCCTAACCTGAGTAAGGCCGGACTCCCCCAGAGGTCAGCCTCATTTTCTCTGGCCCTGTGGGAGAAAGAAACAAGGTATGTGGTTTGCACAAGGAGAAAGAAGTTCGAAGCTGTGCTGCCCATGGCAGCGCTGTTCAATGTTTCATTTGCATGGGGATTTTCTGGTCTGTCTTGAGCAGAATTTCCATGCACCTAAGCGCTGTCTCCTCAGTGTGATCGTGAACTCCTCAAGGAGAGGGACTCTATGTTCCCTTTGCTTAACTCAGACCCTGGCATGGAGGGAGTGCTGGTTCAATGCTAGCTGCTGGTAACACACAGACTATGTTCCGCCCGGTGCCTGGCCTGGGGCGGACATGCAGTTGTCCTGACCTGAGCTGTCATCTCCAGCTTCCGGGATAGGCATGCATTTGCCAGATGGAGTTGAAATGTCATTCCCTATACTGAAAAGTAAGCGAGTGGAGGAAACTGGGAGATATTCTCACAGCTCATAAGAACCGACTCTTCTCCGTGGGATTCCTCTAGGCTCCATCCCAAATCAGGCCATCCCCGAGAACTTCCTCCCACTTCATCTCCAAGACCTGAAAATGTCCCTCCCACAAACAACCTCACACCTCCAAACTCACTTTCTAGATGTCTCAGAATCACTTCACCTCACCCTGAGTCATTTTCAAATAACCCCACTTCCATATCCTATACCCTGTTAGGATTTCCAGCCTCTTGTCTGATGTCTGAGCTGCAAGTGCCTTTATAGATAGGTCTACCAGCAAGGTGTGACCCACCTCTTTATAAAAAAATAGAAGAGACTAAAAGAGGCTCTAATACAAGATACCAGATGTTTCCAATAAGGAAATGGATGCACAGAGAGGTAATGCAAGTTGCCTGAGGTCACACAGCTGGTAAGTGCCAGTTCCTGTCTTTGATTTCAGTGCCCTGCTCACCACAGTCTGCAGTTCTCTGGAATGGGACTGGCCAAAGAGTTCAGTGAGTCCCCAATCCCAACACAACTCCCTAGCCGGGAGTGGGCCTTGATCAGCTGACCCCAGACAGGCACAGCTGGCAGGGATATTGACTGAGGAGGCACGGAGAGGCTGGAAACTTTGGCTGAGCTGGTTTTGCACATGCAGCCAAGAGCGGCTTGACTTTTATCTTAACAGCATTTCAAGCAATTATGAAATGAGGACAAAACACTAATAGGGGCCCTGAAAGATGGATGTCAGGGGTAAGCAGCTCTCCAGCAGGTCAGGGGCACTTGTTTACTCCTGCAGCGATGCAGGCCAGCAGAGGAGGTCCTGCAGATGAGATGCCAGGCCAAGGCTGGGTAATTGCCCACTGGTTCAGACTGCAATGATCTCCTTAGAGAACAGAAGAAGGCCTTCCCCTCTGGGAGAGGCCACGTGACTTTTGCTGTGGCTCCTCCAAGGTGATCAGTGCTGGGATCAGACGGGAGAAGGGGTGAAGTGGGCTCAGCAACTAGTCTAGCCCCTCATTTTACAGATGGGAAAACCAAGGCTCAAGAGAGGCCAAGACATTTGAGCAGAGTCACAGAGCTAGCTGGTTGCAAAGCCATATGTGGCTCAAACCCAGGACTCCTGATTCCCAGTCTCCTACTTCCCAAAGTTACACGCTAAGCACCTGGACATCCCGTTAAAACACAGATTCAGTGGGGCTGGGGGCGAGACTTTGTCTTCCCAAGATGTTTCCAGGTGATGCCAATGTTGCCAGCCCACAGACTACATTTTCAGCAGCAAATCTCTAGGCTGTTGCCTGGAAGGATACAGGGATCCTTACACTTAGCCTCTGACTATACTGATGCTCAAACTCTCTACTTCAGCCAGACAAATCCTCTAAGGCTGACAAAGATACTTATTTAAAATATTAATAATTATTATTTTGACATTCATTGAATATTTAAGTGCCAGCACTGTTCCAAATACTTACATGCATTATCTAATTTAATACTCACAGCTCTGTGAAATGGATACTATCCCTATCTTGCAGATAAGGAAGCTAAGACTCAGGGAGGTTAAGCAACTTGTCCTAAGTTGCATAGCTAGTAAGTGAAAGAATCAGTATTCAAACTCAGTTCTGTCTGATTCTTAACTAGGAAATGGCTGCATGGAAATATACCCTTTAATCCTTTCCTTCTCTGAACTTTGGGAGCCTCTCTCCAGAATGCTCTTAACAATCCTCCAGCCAAACCACATTTCCCCAATGATACTGGGCCTCAACTTCCCCACAATGCAAAGTCCTAAAAGTCTTTTCTCCCCAGATCTGTGTATACACAATGGACCTCAGCAGGTTATTTTTGAAGTTGAGGTCAGGGAGGCACAAAATGAAAAGGAGACGGGACTTACAATAATGTACAAATAGATGATCTACACAGCAAGACACAGGCTGATCTCTTGTCCAATTAGAGGCTGCATGCTTGCTCTAAGACCATTTCAGCATAGACTCTGAAACTGCCTTCCAGGCTTTGCTAGAAGTGTCTGAATAGAGGAGCAGGTGGTCTGGGGAACTGCCTAGCCCTGGGATTGTTGAGGATTCCTACAGAATATGAGCAAATCTCTGGATGTGGGCCAGATTTCACAGCAGAGGCATGGGGCAGGGCCTCCTCTGTGTACTTCCAAGCTCTACTCAAACCCAGCCCTGTGTTTTGGCCTCACCTTCAAGGTTATGAACCATCCCCAGTCATACCACATCTAAGGCCATGTTCACAAGATGCAAGCTCATGGCTGTAAACGTGTTAAAGAACTATGAACAGCACACCACCCGTAACCATGCATTAATTCTCATGAAGAGACTGGTATCCAGTAGGCTTGCCTCAGTTTTGTGATACACGTGCCTGTTCTGACTGGTTCAGTTCTTCAGCAGTTTCTTCAGATGTTGTTTAACTTGCCTGGTCCTGTCTCCTGGAGAGGCCATGGAGGCAAATAGGGCAGACGAAGAGACATGAGGCCATGATGGGAGATAGTGGCCAGGAAGAGGGACGTTCAGCAGGGCTACGGATCACCTTACCACACACGTCACCTCTGCAAAGTGGACTGATCTGGCACTGGGGGATGGCCTAGTATGCTGGGGCCTTACTGCCTGGAGGCAAGCAGAGTGATTTTTCTTCTGGTTGCGGGCACCTGGCTAGCTCACCCCGAGTCCTGGCTCTGCTGTTTACAAGCTGTGCCTTCCGGGGCATACTACTTAACCTTTCTGGGTCTCCATCCCCCCACCTGCAAAATGTGCAGATAATCAATGTGCAGAATGATAACCAGTCCCTACTTCAAAGGATTGTGGTGAGAACTAAATTAACTAGTGTATGAAAAGTATTTAGAATACGGCCTACCATACAGCTTATAAAGGCGAGGGAGAGCTCAAAAATACACATATCATGAGAGACATAGGGCCCGGTCCCCACTTTGGCAGACAGCAATAAGGAGTCATCGCAGAATGTTTTGGCAGAAGACCTAAGAGAAAGTGCACTGTGTATCTCTCTTTTTCACATATAATTACAGAAAGCGGCTGACACTGGGGTACCCACCTTTTTAGGGCACACTCCAGTTCATTCTTCTCCTCATGGGCTTCTTGGAGCTGAGAGAAGATTCTGGTCAGGAAATCTTCAAAGTTGGATAGTAAATGAGGCTCATCCTTCTTCAGCTGCAGCCAGAGCTGCTTGACATCACTTTCACTGCAAGAGAAGGGACGTTCATGTAAAAGTGTGGAAACGAGGCTTCATGGGAAACACAGAGGTTCCCAGATAGGAAACTGACAGCCGGAAACAGTGCTGTCAGAATCAGTATAAACATGACCGTAGCTAACGTGGACCGAAGGCTTGCTGCATGCGAGGAGCCTGATGGATATCAGCTCATCTTGTCCTCACAGTAACCCTACAAGGCAGGAGCTGCAATTACCCCATTTACGGATGAGGAAGCAGGTGAAGAGAGGTGGAGCAAGCTGTCTAAGATCACCCAGCAGTAACTGATGGAGTCAGGATTCCAACTCGGGGCTGTCTGCTTCTGATGTTGGCCTCCTTCCCCATCTCGCTCTGCTGCTTCCGTTCTCCCATGTCCTTCACAACGGGCTCATGGGGTTGAGCATACTCAGAAACATGCTCAGGTGCATCTCCAAATGCCAGGAGGAAGACAGGAGGATGGGAGCCTGGTGCATATGAGGACACATGCTATGGAGCTAAAGGGGAGAGCTTGTTGCCCCCAGGAAGGACGGTCCTCACTGCTGAGAGGTAGACTTGCCACGTGATGGATGGCAGAAAGCAATTGTCACTGCAGGAAGGAAAGAGGATTTGCAGCACCCCACTGGGGCCTGGTGGCACTAGGGATGACTGACAGGCAAAAAGAAGGAAAAGAGCAAGTCTGAAAGATGTGCTCACACAGAAAGACAGGGTGAGAGAGATTCGGGAGATCCAGGGGCCGATAGACAAAGGCACAGAGGCACGTGTGTACACAGCTCAGCGACAGAGACACATGGGCTCAGGCTGAAACCCAGGGAGGAAATGAGGAGGAGACACCCTGTTCTTTTCTGGAGAAACTAAAAAGTTTATAGCCAATGATCAAGCTAAGTTAAACATAAATCTGAAAGAGAATAGGTTATAATTCAATAAAAGTTAATAATTTCACACAGCTAGCAGGGAATAGAGTGTTCTAACACCAAGTTCGAAAGTTATATAACAATAAACAGTAGTGATCAAGTGAAATTTCATAGGCTATTTTATTACAAATAACCTATTCAACTTTATTCTAGCAAAGTGGAGAATAAATATAAATCTTATCCCCCAAACAATCAGGTTTTTGATTTTTTAAATTAATAGGCACATGTATATTTTCCAATATTTGTCACATTTATATAACAAGATGTAATAACTAGCTCAGTTCACTGTCTTCTCAAAGTCTTTTGTTACTTAAATATTCACTCTGTGTCTTAATCTTTCAAATTTATGGCTATTGAAAGTATAAGTCCTTCACCTCCTTCCATCCTTTCAATATAATTACATTTTAACTTTCTTGTTAAACTTTGAGACTTTATGTAATGCGCATTTCACATTTAATTAAGGAAAATCATTATGACCATCGTTTTATGAGAATAAAGTTATCTGTATGCCTATACATCTCTTGAGCTCTTTCCAAAATCTGCTGGTCCATTTCAGTCATCTGCACCTTGACAATCTGTCACCAAAATTCATCTTGGCTCCCCAGGAATCCTCAGGATAAAGAATAACAGAATTTGTGCTAGTGTAATAAGCATTCTATTTTAGAAACTTTCTTCAGAAGTGATATTTGATAGTGCTATGCTAGCAATGCTCCTGCGGCACGGACATTACTCTCTACGTCCTGCAGAGAAGAGGCCCACTGAGAAATGGGTGGTGACCTCCCATTCCTGTGGCAGGTTTCCCTGCTGTGGTCTGAATGTTCATATCTCCTACAAATTCATGTGTTTAAAGCCTAACCCCCAACATGATGGTATCAGTGGTTGAGGCCTTTGAAAGAGGTGATCAGATCTTGAAGGCAGAGCCCTCATGAATGGGACTAGTACCATTGACACTGTGTTCTGTAATTAGTATTGTTTTAAAACTGTATGCTAATTCCCAAGTATGACATGAAATAAATGTGTATACTATTATGACTACATAAATAATATCCCTGGAGAACCAGGACTTTTCCTGAAATTGCACCACTATTTGTTTTACTTCCGCAAATCCCTTACCAGTTTATTCCGGGAGTACCTCCTTAATAAATCACTTTAAGACAAAAACCACACACACAGAAACACAAATGTGACTTGTCTTCCATTAAATTCCCAAACCAGAAAATCTGAGGGTAGCTCTGGCCAGGAACCCTCAAGATAAGGAGTAAAATCCTTTGTGCTTGTGTAATAAGCATTATATTTAGAAACTTCATCCAGAAATGATATTCAATAATGCCATGCTAGCAATGCTCTTGGAAAATGGACATTACTCACTTCACCCAGCAGAGAAGAGGCCCACTGAGAAAGGTGCCAGCCTTGTATCAGTTATCTGGTCATCTCTTTAACACGCCTTCCCTCTCTCCCTCCTTTCCTTGCTCCAGCTCTTCCACCAAAATATCTGCCTACTTATTTAGACCATCTGTCTATCTATCCATCCATCCATCCATCCATCCATCCATCCATCCAGCCAGCCATCCATCCATCCATCCGTCCATTTCCTAATTCACTCAACAAGTATTTATTATAACCTATTGTAAACCTTGCACTGTACTGGATGTCATGGGTGAATCTGGGAAATGAGGGAATCGGAGGTAAGGAGACTCTGTTTCCCAAAATGAGTTCCATTCCTCCCATCCTCACAATGCACACACAGCATGTGGTGACAGTCTCACTTCATCCTACAGGTAAAATGTAGATATGACACAGGGTTCAGAGAAAAGAGGATCTCAGAGAGACACCATGGTGACCTCCCATCCCCGTGGCAGGTTGTTCCCTGCTGTGGTCTGAATGTTTCTATCTCCTACAAATTCACATGTTTAAATCCCAACTCCTGACGGGATGATATCAGTAGGTGAGGCCGTTGAGAGCTGGTTAGATGATGAAGGCAAAGCTCTCATGAATGGCACTAGTATCCATATAAAAGAAGCCAGAGGAAGCTCATTCAACCTTCCTGCCATATGAGGACACAATGAGAAGACAACTGTCTATGAATGAGGAAATGTGACCTCATCAGACAGCAAATCTGCTGGCACCTTGATCTTGAACTTCCTAGCTTCCAGAACTGCCAGAAATAAATTGTGGTTATTTATAAAGCACCCAATTCAAGGCAGTCTATTACAGCAACCCAGATGGACTGAGACACGCCATCATGAAGTAAATGCATCATAAAATCAAAGCTCACCTTGCCAGCCTAGATCTGTCTGTCCACACCTGCCAGGTTCCTGTTGGAGCCAACGGAGCTAAAGTCCCCAGTGAGACTTGCAGACCCACCTGCTCCTCTTCCAACACTCTTTGAAGTACTTAGTCATGGCAACAACATCTTGCCCCAGATTTTCTGGAGAAGGAACAAGTCTTTCAACTTTTGATGAAAAACAAGCCAAAGTTTGCTAAGCTGCCAAATCGCTCAGTCAGACCACCAAGAAGAGCCACGGTGCAGATGTCCAGTGTCAGACTTCTACAACACACCAAGGCCACCCCTCCTGGGAGGATATTAGAGGCCAGGAAGGATTCTGGGAGATTTATCAATCCATTTCACTGCTTCAAGAACAACACACAAAACATTTTAGTGAGCAAAATCTTTAAAGACTCCTCAAATCTTCATAGCCTTTTCTATTTCCCTCTCTGGAGTCCCAGAGTCATGAATGTTTCCCTCATGCTGCAACCTAAGCCCACTTCAGGGAGAATGGAAGTAGCTGGTCGCCATCTCCTGTGTATCAGTTTTTATGGACCACTCTCGAAACTTCCACAAAGCCTCCTTCTTCGGGACATCTCATTTTGGCTCAGTTCTGCACTGGTCTTTGCTATAGGTCCTCAGAGTCAGAACTGGTGGACTCTAATTGAGAACCCTGCCAGGAAGGCGGCTGCCGGCAGTGAGGGCCGGGCAGAGAGGCCCCTTCCTTCCGTTACAGCGCCTCAGCTCACCTGCCCTGCCTTCTCCCTTTCCCTTCTCCAGGAGGAGGTGTCGCACGGTCACCAGCCACAGTCTCTGTGCTCTGGCCTCCTGTCCTTGGAGAAGCTGAGAAGCTGAGGCAGGTGTATGACTAATGAGCCTCCCACCCACCTGTGCCCTTTCCACTTGCCCAGCTGCACCCTCTGTGATCCACACCTGCTCCAGCCCCTTCTAGGCCCACAGCAAGGCTGCTGCTGCTGCTGGTTTTGAGTTGCACTTCCTGTGCAGTCCCCCAACCAAGATCTTTCCTACGCCTTTGCCTGTCCCTTTCTTGCCTGGAACACACTTTGCCAGCCTTTCCCAATTCTGCCACAGTCTACCAAATTGTTTGCTAAGAAAACCAAACACTGCATGTTCTCACTCATAGGCGGGTGTTGAACAATGAGAACACATGGACACAGGAGGGAGCATCACACACTGAGGTCTGTGGAGGGGGAACTAGGGGAGGGACAGCGGGGGGGTAGGGAGTTGGGGAGGGATAACATGGGGAGAAATGCCAGATATGGGTGATGGGGATGGAGGCAGCAAACCACATTGCCATGTATGTATCTATGCAACAATCCTGCACGTTCTTCACATGTACCCCAGAACCTAAAATGCAATTTAAAAAAATATATATATATTCACACACACACACACACACACACAGATATATA